ATTGAAATTTATTAAATAAATTTTAAGTACAAAGTTGCTTTACAAATAATTATAGTTCAAGAAAAATACAAAAATGTTTTTTTTTTAATAAGTGTTTTCTTATTCAAAGAAAAATAATCTCGAAACTGAATTGTTACTTTTTGTCCTGTGACTTTTTGTCCGTGACTTTTTGTCTGTGACTTTTTGTCCTGTGACTTTTTGTCCGTGACTTTTTGTCTGTGACTTATTGTCCTATGACTTTCTGTCCTACATTCTAAAAAAACACCTATATTCACTACACTCCTTCAGGTAAACCATGACAGACAAAGAAGATCAACAACAGAAACATTAATGATAGAATTATATGTTGTTATGGATTATGCACTGGTATGTCCTTTAATGAAAATGTATCGTAAGTCAAATTATTAAACTGGTTGCAGGTCTCTCTGTCAACGTATATTTATTCCGCCTAACAGAAATGCCCCTGGAAAATTATTTATAAACAATGCCATTATATCTGTTCCTGTTGAAACAACTATGATAAACCCTTTATTTCGTTAGGAACAAATACTCTAATATTTGTTCGTTCCAGTGGAAATAATATTACATAAAATTTCTCTCAATTAAGACTTCTGATCCGGAAAAGCCTTAGACTTTTTTCGAACGAAGGAACCTGTAGCTTAAGGGCATACGATACAGTTACAGGGGAGGTAATGCCGTTGCTAACGTAATATGTTATTTTTCGCGACGTCAAACTGCAACTTATCGAGAAAAGATGCATTTTTAGAGGGATTTTAAGCATTAGCTTGAAAACGAGTACATGGACCCCTCTTTTTTCAAATGACTTGATACTGCATGAAGATTATTTTTTTCCAATTTTTATGAAAATGAAAAAAGAAACACCGATGAACTTTTTTTAAATTAGATAAATCAGCAGCAAAAAATGCCGTTTTTTACTAAAATCTTGATTAAGAGCATAGTTTTGTAAAGAAGATATTTCAAATCGTTTTACAAAAATCCGCATGTGTTCATCTTTTGAAACAAAAAAAGTTAAGTATGTCTGTCCAAAGGATAGAAATGTACAAGAAACCGAAATTTTAAGTAAATGTCTAAAATTTCGACCCCATTTATCTCTAAATTTAGCACATGAAGGTATTTTTTTATTACATATTTGAATTACTAGTAAATAGGTGAAAAATAGCTTGTATGCACATTTTCGTAAAAAGATCACCGTGGGATCAAAACTGTATCGTATGCCCTTAAGCTTTGATTTACATCTGACAATAAGAAAGGATTACTACGACTGAGTTGTTCTTTCGGAGAACAGGCATTGTTACATTTATCATAAATTCCGAAAATTCATGATTGTATTATTATTATTGAGGAAAATGAAACGTTGGTACATATCTCATTCAATCGGAACAAGTAGTTTGAATTCTGATTGCCTTTTGTGTATGCAGTATTTTTTTAAAAATCATATTATTTTTTGCATTCTTTCCCGTTGATCATCATTTGCAATAATACAACCACGCAAAAATATCTGCATTTACACTAGTTTAACCGTCAAGCACAATTATAATACTGCCATTAAATGCACATTTGACGCAATATACACGGAAGGAAAATCAGTTAAAAAGCCGTATTTAGGAGTTGTGTCTTGGTCGTTACAACCGTGCTTATCTAAAAATTAATAAGTATATTCGTCCTATCGCCTTATCCTTGATTCATGTAAGTCTATCTAGTGTCTGCAATAAAGCTAATATTGAGCCCCAAAGTACATGTACTAAGCTACCGAAAGCATGGATTATTTTGCAGACTATATAATTGTTATATTGCTTCTTTAAACCAAACTTCTAACAATTGATTTTTAATGTGTCTTTTTTCCTAATCTGTATGTTTATTTTTTTAGTTTTCGGAGGCTGGTATTGGCAAGAATACCACTAAAGCTATTCAATACATCGAAAGAATGGTAAATCACATTGATCAGGTTAGAATATTTATGGACTATATTGTATAAGCAACATTTTCCTCAAATGTGCTACGATCACCGAGTTTTGTGTTCTCTGGATCAACTGTTCAAGAAATTTTAACGAAATCAAAATGACATGAATTTGATTTGATAGACATGTGTTGAACACTGTAAGAAACGATTAGAATTGTACTTGACCAAATACTATGTGAATTATTCTGTCGGTAGTGTTTTGCCATTCAATAAAGTAGACAACATGGGAACAATTGTTCCTGTAATAACCCAAACGTTAACAAGGTTCCAAATACAAAACGTGTGAAAGTAAGAAAACACAAATATGAAAACAGAACAGGCACAACGTCTCAACAATATTATTCAGTAAGAACATGATCCTTCCCGTATTTTCAGTATCTTTCCCACTATAAAGCAGCGTGTAAACAATCACAGTCCATCTGTGATGTAAAGTTGAAGTACTAACACAGAAAAAGTGCTACTTTTCATCTGCTATGACAGATCATGTACTAACAGATTGATGAACACGTTGACACTTTTGATTAATAAATGAATTTGCCAACATAAGACGCTGATGATTAAAACGCAAAAGTTTTGATACAGTTAATAGCCTTTTTTACACAACTTTTTCTGTGTTTATGTGATGTAATCATTTTTTATGCACGAAATTAAGTTTTAATGAATTATGCGAAAGTTGATGAGTAACAAGTTGATTACAACAGCATTTTTCGATTGATTGCATCGACAAATTTATAATTACAACGATTGCAATTTTACATACGGTCTGGTAACAATGTTATATTTTCTATTTGGTAAATGGAAAATTACAAAAATAGAGAATTAAAGTTAAGGGTGTTGTTATTATTCCCGTAAAGTTTGGCCATTTATTACACATATTGCAAAATAATATCTGGGTTCAATACCTCTGCTAGTTGACTATTTGTCCCCAAGGATATCATCAGCTTTGTAGTCATTGATTTGGTACCTGCATGATTAATAACATAATTTTCTAAAATTCCCCGTTGATAGATAATGATATTATTCAGAAACTAAGGTTCCAAATCCCTCAAGCAAAGTTGACGACCTAAGATAAATTTGGCAATTCTTTTTATGCCCCTTTTGGTCATATAGCTCATAAAGGTTCTACGCAAAAAAAGTATAACAAAAATACCGAACTCCAAGGCAAATTCAAAAAGGGGAAGTCTAAATCAATCACGCCCACAAAAAAAGGTGTAGTATATAGTAAATTTTAAATTTGACAATACGTAAAAAAAAAGTTTTTGTCGTTCGTAGTATATATATACCCTATTTAGTATACTTTCTCAATAAGTAAAAATTCAGTTTGAGCAAATATAAATACAAATGTAAACCAAATAAAAACAACACTGTAACATATATATCCCAGGATTAAAATTTTGTACGCCAGGCGCGTTTCGTTTACAAAAGAATCATCAGTGACGCTTGAATAAAAAAAAGTTTAAAGGGTCAAAATAAAGAACAAAGTTACGATGTTTTACTTTAATCTTTTTTTATAGATATATTCACCTGTGGGTATCCGAGTTTTACTTGTTGGTGTCGAAATATGGATTGCAAAACAAACAGATACGCCATCTACCGATGCTACAGAGTTATTAGATCAGTTTCTTATTCATGCTAAAAAATCAATAAGAAAAACGGTATCCGTCGATTATGACTTTATTGCACTGATAACGTAAGTACAGTTTAAGTCGTGACTTTTCTTTGGAACGCACTAGAAAAGAGAAAATTTTGCATACATCATTTTCTGTTCTGTAAAGATTCTCATTGGTTTTACTCAATTCACTGAACAGAAAAGATTTGAAAAATAGTTCCTATGTTTTCTCATATCGTTGAGATCAAACGATCTTTTTAGTCTCAAACAGTTTAGCTAGCTATAAAATCAGGTTTAATCCACCATTTTCTCCATAAGGGAAACAGTAAAATAACAAAAATACCGAACTCCAAAGGAAATTTAAAACGGAAAGTCCTTTATAAAATGGCAAAATCAAAAGCTCAAACACATCAAACGAATGGAAAACAACTGTCATATTCCTTACTTGATACAGGCATTTCCTTATGTAGAAAATGGTGGATTAAACGTGGTTTTATATTTAGCTAAAGTGTAAAAAGTAAAATAACAAAAATACCGAACTCCAAGGAAAATTCAAATAGGAAAGTCCCTTATCAAATGGCAAAATCAAAAGCTCAAACACGTCAAACGAATGGAAAACAACTGTAATATTCCTGACTTGGTACAGGCATTTCCCGGGTTTTTAGACTTGTATGACAGTCGCATAGAATTCCATTATATTGACAACAATGTGTGAGAAAAACAAACAGACATAATAGGTAAAAATGTCAAAAATTAGGGTAGCGTAGTCAACATTGTAATACAATCTTAATCATTATAAAAACAAATAACTTTTTCAACAAAAAAAGAAAAGAAAATGGCATATAGACACTCTATCATATCTATAGACAAAGTACATAAGCAAAAATGAAAGACAAGAATTCAAAATTGACCATAGCACAATGACACAATGGCGGGATGTATAAGTACCGAGCCACGCCAAAAGTATATTACCAAAAATGGAATAAACAGTAAAGGTAACAAATGTACAAGGACAAGTAAAAATGCATGTACCAAGTCAGGAATATGACATTCGTTTGATGTGTTTGAGCTTTTGATTTTGTCATTTGATAAGGAGGGACTTTCCGTTTCGAATTTTCCTTGAAGTTCGGTATTTTTGTTATTTTACTCATCATATAGGAGATATAGGAGATGCATGTAGTTTTAATCATTATAAATTTCAGTGGCAAACCATTCGGAGGCCAGCATGTCGGTATTGCACACGTCAATGCCATGTGTGGTGACCAGTCAGGTGCAGTGATACAAGACGATAGAGCCAGTTCTACGCGTGAGCTGAAATCAGCTGTTGTATTAGCACATGAGATAGGTCATGTACTGGGAATGTTGCATGATGATGCGGCTTGTACATGCCTGGATCCAAAGGACTGCGTAATGAACGCAGACATAACGTAAGTCACAGACAAAAAGAACCAATACGGGTGCCACATGTGGAGCAGGATCTGCTTACCCTTGTGGAGCACCTGAGATCACCATCCGGTTTGTATTGCTCAGTCTTTAAATTTTCTATGTTGTGTTTTGTGTACTGTTGTATGTCTTTTCTTTTTTAGCCATGTCGTTGTCAGTTTATTTTCGATGTATGAGTTTTAATGTCCCTTTGGTATCTTTCGTCTCTCTTTTATATGCGACAAAATGGTGTATTAGAAATGTTGTAAATATTTTATTGTAAATTGTTATTCTAATTTCATTACCTCCCCGCAGCATCACTGTTCACAATATCTATATATCTGTTTATCATATAGGCAGCTTCCAACTACGTTTTCATCATGCAGTGCTAAAATTGTCAAGAAAGTCAAAGATAAAGGCCTTGCTCCTTGTCTTTATAATGTACCTGACGTCATATACAATGGACCAATATGTGGGAATGGAATAAAGGAAAAAGGAGAAGTTTGCGATTGTGGGGGGAAAAAGGTACGGAAACATTCATTGTCTCCCTTTACATCTTTGTGTTTTTGTACATATATTAAGCTTCAAATTGCGTACAGTAGTAGAAATGATTTGCATTTACTTAGATGTAATAATATTGTCGGGTTTGGTAAAAAACACCATGAACAAACGAACCAAGTCAGGAATATGACAGTTTGTTGTCCATTCGTTTGGTGTGTTTGTGCTTTCGATTTTGCCATTTGATTAGGGATTTTCCGTTTTGAATTTTCCTCGGAGTTCAGTTTTTTTGTGATTTAACTTTTTTTTAATCACCAGATGACAATCAATCTAATATATCATATAAAGCAATAAGAATAAAGAATTGGAAGAAACCCAATATTCAATGTTCGTGTATCAACTATAAAAACTTTTTTATCGGCGTCCTTGTCGATATACAATTTACTATAAAATATAAATACTTTTTTGTTAGCGTCTTTGTCAAATTTTCTATAAACTACAACACCCTTTTTGTTGGCGTCTTTGTTAGATTTATTTGTATGTTTGTTTGAATTTTTTTTGACAGTTGTGAGGTATGGTAACACAATTTTGGCTGTTGGGTCCCAATTATTGTCACGTTTACCTTTTATGTGTGTTTGGGTTGCTCACCAAATTTTGTCAATGTAATGGAACAACAAACAACTGTCATACAAGTGGGAGGTTTAGCTAGCTTTAATACCAGGTATAACCCACCATTTTCTTCGAAAAATGCCTGTACCAAGTCAGGAATATGACAGTAGTTTTTCACTCGTTCCGTCGATTGAAAAAGTTTGATTTTGTCAGTTTTTATGGACTTTCCCCTTTTTAAATTTACCTTGGAGTTCGGTATTTTTGTTATACTTTTTTTTCACGATGAAAGACCATTGTAAACAAAATCAAGTTTGTTAAGAGATACTGGTTTCGAAAAGACAGGACAGTTCATGGGACAAGAGCGCTTCCAGTCAAATCTATCAGGTCTCTGATAAAACGTCGAATTCATAAGTTGAAAAACTGTGTGAATGATCGACCAAAGTCCGTTTTTAGGGCAAGGAATCACGATAAATATGTTGTTGTCCCTGCGGACAAAGCTTCAGATAATAGTGTTTTATATGTAAATCGTAATACTACGAGTGTCTTGTAAAAGAATAAGGAATAAAAGAGCACTCAGGTCATCCCACATACGAAAATATATCATTTGGCAAGGATAAGATTCGTCTAATCATACGTCCTTCATGGCTTCCATGAACATTACATTGAACAGCAAATCTGAAGACTTACCTTGTTTGTATTGGATACCTAAACCTCACAAAATTCCGTACAAGCAACGGTAATTGACGGCTCATCTGCATGTTCTACAAAGGAATTGTTCATTAGATTGACAAAAAATATGTCCGCAGTGAAAGATGGTCTTCAGAAATACTGTGAAACTATTTACTCGCGTATTAACCATATGTGGATTCTAAAAAACTGAATAATTTTAAATCTCGTTCTTTCTCTGAAATTAATTCTATCAAAACTTTTGATTTTTCAACCCAGTATACCACAATTCCCCATGTAAATTGAAAAATCTTCTAAAAGAAATAATCCAAAACGCTTTTCAATATAAAAATGGTTACATACGCTATACCTTTATTGCTTTGTGATACCATATGCATATTTTGTTAATAGTGAACAAAAAGGTAAAACATGCTACACAGAGGAACAAGCGATCAGTTTGCTCGAGTTTCTTATTGACAACAAATTTGTTGAATTTGGAGGCAAACTTTTAAAATGAATTGTCGGCATTCCTATGGGAACGAACTGTTCGCCTCTCCTTGCCGACCTCTTTTTATTTTCATAAGAGTCGGATTTCCTTCAGACACTTATCAAAAACAAGAAGCTCAAAGAAGCCAGATCATTTAATTTCACATTCAGATATATTGATGATGTTCTCTCCATTAACAATCTGATTTCTGATTGGGTTCAAAATATATATCCTCCAGAATTAGAAATTAAAGAAACAACAGACACGGCTTCCTCCGCCTCATTTCTAGATTTATACCTCGAATTTGACATTAGTGGTCATCTCAGTACTAGAATCTATGATACAAGAGACGATTTTAATTTTGAAATTATAAGTTTCCCCCACCTTAGCAGCAATATACCAATTTCACCTGCATATGGGATATACATTTCCCAACTCAGTCGGTAATCAAGAGCTTGCAGCTGCTACTCAGACTGTATTAAATGTCACCAGTGTCTGAGCAAAAAGTTGATGAACCAGGGTTATGTCAAAGAACGTCTCGTCCTTTTTCTAAAGCAATTCATTGGAAGATACCAAGACCTTGTTGATAAATATTCCGTATCAACTTCACAAATAATACATTATGGTCTTGAAGTATAGATTCTAGGTACTGACGTTGTTTGAAATGTCGTCTTAATCACGTGTTATAGTGTTATTTTTGTATATTTTAACCTTTACTGTTTAGTCCATTTTTGGTAATATACTTTTGGCGTGGCTAGATATTTATACATCCCACAATTGTGTTATTGTGCTATGGTCATTTTTGTATTCTTGCTTATGTACTTTGTCTATAGGGTGTCTATATGCCATTTTGTGTATCTTTGTTTAATAGTTATTTGTTTTTATAGTGATTAAGATTATAACTCAATGTTGACTGCGGTACCCCAATTTTTGATATTTTTACCTATTATGTCCGTTTGTTTTGCGAACACATTGTTGTCAATATAATGGAATGCTATATGACTGTCATACAAGTGAGATGTTTAGCTAGCTATAAAACCAGGTTTACTCCACCATCTACATGAGGAAATTGCTGTACCAAGTCAGGAATATGACAGTTGTTTCCATTCGTTTGATGTGTTTGAGCTTTTGATTTTGTCATTTATTAAGGGACTTTCCGTTTAGAATTTCCCTGGAGTTCTGTACGTTTGTTATTTTACTTTTTATTTTACAAAGTAGTTGTCGTGGCGTTTATTTTGGATAATTTTTTTTAAACATCCATGTAAAAATGTTAGGCAATCAAACGAAATATACACAAACAATACCCAGAAAACTAAATATTGAGCAACGCGAACACCACAAAATACCGTGGGGTGAACTAAGTAAGTGCAGAGAGATATGCAGTTTCTATTTGAGAAGTAGGAACGTTGTTTTATTCATGGCACGCACAAAATATGTGATTTCATCAATGAAAAAAGAAGGCATCAGAATGAGCAACAACAAATGAAAATTAAAATCTGATATGTAGCAAATTGTGGCATTTTAAAATTATCTTTCGGATTCAAAAGATTAGCGGTAATGATACCCGTAAGATAAAACTACAACAGGTAATAAAAAGTAAAGATAAACAAGGAACCACATTTTCAGGAATGTAAGAAAAGTCAATGTTGCACAGACACCTGCCAACTTAAGCACGGAGCTAAATGTGATTCTGGTGGATGCTGCCACCACTGTCAGGTAAATACATTTATTCCATTTAAGGACCAAGTTGTCTAAAATGTCAAAACAGATAAAAAAAAATTCAACAGAAAATTATTTTGATGGTTAATAGTATAGTCTGATTGGTACAAATGATATAATAAAACTTAGTACATTGAAAACATTTTTTTTTTGTAAACATTTAAAATGGTTTTTATTCCAAACTTTTGATAGAAATTTGCTGACCTATTAGACTTTTCTTGACTCTTCAGGTTCTTAAGGCGAACAAGTTATGTAGATCAGCACAGAATGAATGCGACTTAGACGAGGTCTGTGATGGAAAAAGTGAACAGGTACAGGTTTTATATTGAATGGTAATTAACTGCCCGAAACATAAGTTATAAGAATGCAAAATATGATAACAATTTTTACTGAATTTTTTTTCTTAAAAGAACACACAATTATTTACAGAACGACCGGAAATATTCTTAGATTAATAATTGTCGCGAAGAATGGCAATAACAGCGTTGTTCCTTGGTTATTTTGACCATTTGATAAAATTGGGGTACCAGTACACGAGTCTTATTTCGTCTTTTCCAATCGAAAAAAATCAAATTCTGTACGAATATATATTTTCAAATGTTTCGAAACAACACGTAACACCACGAGATTTTATTTTTACAATAAGTTATAAGTAGGGCGCAAGTTCTACTCTAGGAAAGCCGCCTGCCAAAACTCTAAAGACGAAGAAGAAGGAATGTTAAAAGTTCTTATAAATTGATTTTAAAGCAACAATCGTAAAACAGGAATAAAAGCAGATGAAATAGAGAAGAAAAACAAGACAATAAAGCTTACAAGACTACAATTCTAGTTTTAAATTTAACTGATGTTCTTTGTCGATACAATTTCGACATATTTTTGCAGTGTCCAGCTAATTTGTACAAGCAAGACTTATATCAGTGTGGACAAGGGTTAGACGTTGGATATTGTTATAGAGGCCAGTGTCGTAGTAATCTGATACAATGTCAACATATTTGGGGCAGCAGTAAGTACCTGTTCAGAAATTTAAGTCGTTCTCGAAATTACAGTGCACCGTGTCGGCGTTCGTGCAAATGATGTCTTTAACAATCTAATGTATTCTAGTAATTTCATATAATTTCCAAGTTATTCCATTATGAGGCTCATGACTGGTTGAAGTATTGTCGATTTATTATGTTTTCGTCCATTGGATCAAATGAAAAAAAAAATTACATTCAGTTTACAAAATTTAATATGAACGCTTAAAAGGGGGAAAAAGTCGAGAAATTAATATTTCACGGTGGCTATTGCAAGAATGCAGCTTGAAAACAGCGCATTAAAGAAAGTTCTGGATTGTATTCTAACCAATGCAAGTTTTAGTGTAGAACGAAATTTTACGAAAAATTCTTTTAATATCTTTTTTATTAACGTGATTTTTTATTAAATTGTATTTGTATTTTCATAGCTGGTAAAACGGCTCACGTGTATTGTTTCACTGAAAACAAACAAGGTCAAGCTAGTGGAAACTGTGGAACTATCTCGAATTCTATCCATAGGAAATGTAATGATAGGTGATTATGCCGGTTTATTACTTCTATGCTTACATTCTTTGTTCAGCCGAGAAATTATAAGTAAACAATCTTGGCATTCAAGATACAATTTCTCATTAGAATTAAAGTACACAAAACAGAACAGTATTCGAGGTTAAACAATTACCATATTTGAATTAATATTCAAATTCGACAATTTGCAAAGAATACATATCATATTAATGCGATCATGTAAAACAAGCACATGTATGAATAAAAAACCAAGTTTAACCTTTTTAAAAAAAATACGGAGTACTTCGTAGTGTTATAAATTACGTCAACCCGAAGCATTAATTGTTGATCGGGTAATGAATTCCCATAAAGTAATTTTAATATCTTCGCACTCGTTATTCGAATCAATAATAAGCTTTAAAAGAGTACACACATGAAACAATTAAAACATACAGTAACATCACTAGACACTATATTGTTAATCCAGTAACATGAGTTTAATTACATAAAGCTTTGAGTATAACCTTGTTATTATTTCAATCAACCGCTATTTTCATTACGTACATGATGTACGGAATAAAACCTATAATAAAATTCGGGTGATGACAAAGGAAATAGAATAAAATTTGGGCATTCTACGATGATAAATCCATGAAACTGAAATGCTACATACAATTTGAAAAAAAAGTTGGATATGTATTAAAAGAGCCACTTACCAAGACAGGGCAACATGACAATATGGCAATCAGACATTTTTCCACACACAAACTAAAAGCAATATATGCAATTTATCCTATGAATAGACTTATGAATAAAAAAGAAGACGGCGACAACAATCGATTAGTAATTGAATTTTGGAGAGGCACACGTTAACTTGTGATTCAACTAATTGAGTAATACACCCAATAATACTTTTGATAGGGACAAAGCAATAAAAACAGTACAACGTAATGTAAAATCATTCCAAATTTTAAGATATAGTCGTGAAAAGGCAATTATAACATTGTTGGGCAAATATGTCCCCATAAACATAAAAGCGCAAAAAAAATTAAAGGAAAGTAAAAATCAGTGATCAAATCAATAGTTCCCTCTACATGTAAAGCGTACAAGGATTGTAATAACAATAATGCTTTATATTTCGTTTAGTTGACAACTTCCTACAGAAACTGTTATTCGTTATCAGACCACATAATCAAATGAATCAAGTATTTCTCTGACATAGTAATACAAGCTAAAAAGGACAACTCTCAAACTTCCCTTAGCTCATTTGGTTAAGTTGTGAATACCTCAACAGATTATTTGTTTTTAATAAATTGCGTACATGCACATATTTTCTGTATCAAGTCCTAAATGTTTCTTCGTGATGGAAAATTAAATGATATATCAGGTAGACTTGTGTGTCTTGAAATTAAATATTCACATTTTTTTCCTGTATAGTGATAAGATGTGTGGTGTACTTTTTTGTGACTCGGGTATACCAAACCCTGTATTTGGAGGAGGTTCACAACGAGTGATTGAAAGACATTTGACACTCCCTCCACCTCATGGCCCAATTACATGTAAGTAAGTATCATTTATTATAATTAAAATAACCCTCAGCAAATTTTGATTCGTATTTCGAACAATTATATCGGATAGATTGATTGATTGATTATTGGTTGCTTAACGTCCAGTAGTATCGGATGGAATATATTCATTTAAACCAAATCGATAAAAAAGACTAAGGAATCTGACGCTTCAAATTCATCACAAGATCTGTGCTAAAATCTTAAATCATTTAAAAATCAAGCTTAATTCAAAATTAGAAAGAATTTAACAAATAACAAATTTTTCGTGAACTAAATTATACAACAAACGAGGGGTTTTCAATTTTCCTGTTGGGGACTTTCCATTTCTTTGTAGCAACGTTCAAGCAACGCCTGTATACGAAGTATATATTTTCCAGTCGATACAGTATTCCATTGAACACAATAAATACATTGATTGAGTGTTGCTTGCTTAACGATCAGTGAGACATTTTCATTTATATTCAGGACGAGACGAATTTGACATTTAATACAACAGGTAGGTTCTGCATGGTAAGTCGATGGGGATAAAGGGCGGGCAACATTGACTGCCAATGGAAAATGAGAGTATTTTCCATCCATAAGTATTCAAGTATTTATACATCCTGGGCTTTGAATATTTTTGGATTTGTGCGTTCCTGGTGAAGGTGATTCAAGAAAAGAGCATCGGACGCACTGAATTTGGAAAGTTTTATTTTCATTTTCGGGCACTGTGTCGCTATCTCTACTGTCGGACTGCTAGTCTCCTAAGGAATCATCAGCTCAGTAGTCAGTGCCTTGGTCTGACATGTTTCATAAATTAACACAACAGTTGTTTACCGAAATAAATTAATAGGACAAATCAAGGTAACAAACCAAAAAACGGAGTGATTCGCATGTACTCCAAAAAGGGGAGACCGGGTGCGTCAACAGGGAAAGTGTCTCCTTGTGTGCAAGTATGTATGCATCGCCCGCCATTCGAATCACAATCAGTAACCTTACAAATTTGACTATTATTTTGGGACCTAAAGATCTAATACTGCGAAAACTTATCAAAAGTACGTTGAGACACAGAATTAAAAAAGTAGTATAATGCACAGAAATAGCCAGTAGGTATATCATCAACAACAAAAATGCACACGTTACCATCTTTGATAATAACAATACCAAGATGCGAGAAAAAAAATCAACCTAAATCTTAAATATAATGTATAGCATCTATGTTAGCTATGCCTTTTCCAGGTTACCATTTTTTTTTACTGCATTTGTAACAGCAATTCAGTGATTTCACCACATTGATATGTACGAAAGGAGATGTTTGATACACACCAATGAGATAGCAAATCAACAAAAATAAATAACAGAAAGACATCAGGGTTAGACAATTTTTTTGTTTCGAAATCACAACCCTCCGAATTTGAAGTATTATCAGTGTACTAACAAAAGAAACATAGAGAAATGACATAAGAAACAGTGCAGGTATAACGTTTGAAATAAACCATTTAATACAGTAAAAATGCTTACAGCTTCCAATTCCAAGCTCCAATAATTAAAACTGATTGTATTTTTAATCATGCTATCATACACCCTATATCGGTAACTTTACTTCTTAAATAATTGCATAGAGCAACGATATAAAATGTACAGGAAGACACAATCTTGTACAATTTCAGGAATAATAATACTACAAAATTTCAAATCAGAAAAAAAAGGATTTAAGTTGTGCTTCTAAGTTTGATAACTGAATTGATGTTCATCTGCTAAAATGCTACACATGAACATCAACAGTTAAGATCTTAGTTTTGGCCTGTTATCTAAATATCGAACTAACAGACATTACCTGTAGTTCGTTCAAATGAGTGATACCACAAATGCTTTATTTAATAGGGCTATCCTGCAATATAATATGGAGGATACTTATATTGGCTGTTGGCTCAATTATGACTAGCAAATGTACCAACGGATTTGTTAACCTCCAATGGAACAATTTGTTTAATTTCGTTTTAAGTGTTGCCGTTTGCATTGTCATTACGCGATTGTTTAAGACAAGGGAGGAAGAATTATAACAGCATTTTTTGTTAAAATCAACCTTTAATTTTCGAATTTATATTTCCTTCATTGAAAGGTACTATATACTGTAAATTCACAAATTATTGCGTGCATCTATTATTGCGATTTTGTAATTTTAGCCTAACATAAACGGTACCAATTTTTCTACACTAGATGCGCATTTCGACAATAAATGTCTCTTCAGTGATGCTCGAGGCCAAAATATTTGAAAATCCAAAGCTTATTAAAAAGATGAAGAGCTATAAACCAAAAGGGACAAAAAAGTAAAGCCCATGCCGGGCAAGAAATCAGAGCTTTGCATGAGGGAGATACATTCCTTAATTTTAAATAATTTTCAAAATTTTGTAACAGCAAATTTTAATAACACAAAATCCGTGTTTTCATGCCAGTATGGAAGTACTGGCTACTGGGCTAGTGATACCCTCGGGGACTATAGTCCACCAGCAGAGGCATCGACCCAGTGGTAGCAATAACATAAACGGTACCAATTTTTCTGCACCAGATGCGCATTTCGACAATAAATGTCTCTTCAGTGATGCTCGAGGCCAAAATATTTGAAAATCCAAAGCTTATTAAAAAGATGAAGAGCTATAAACCAAAAGGGACAAAAAAGTAAAGCCAAAGCCGGGCAAGAAATCAGAGCTTTGCATGAGGGAGATACATTCCTTAATTTTAAATAATTTTCAAAATTTTGTAACAGCAAATTTTAATAACACAAAATCCATGTTTTCATGCCAGTACCGAAGTACTGGCTACTGGGCTAGTGATACCCTCGGGGACTATCAGTCCACCAGCAGAGGCATCGACCCAGTGGTAGCAATAACATAAACGGTACCAATTTTTCTGCACCAGATGCGCATTTCGACAATAAATGTCTCTTCAGTGATGCTCGAGGCCAAAATATTTGAAAATCCAAAGCTTATTAAAAAGATGAAGAGCTATAAACCAAAAGGGACAAAAAAGTAAAGCCAAAGTCGGGCAAGAAATCAGAGCTTTGCATGAGGGAGATACATTCCTTAATTTTAAATAATTTTCAAAATTTTGTAACAGCAAATTTTAATAACACAAAATCCGTGTTTTCATGCCAGTACCGAAGTACTGGCTACTGGGCTAGTGATACCCTCAAATGCGTTTTTAATTTTTGCGATATTGAGAAAAATCCTGTTTATTTCACATAAAAATTTTCAAAATGCGAGTTTAAATTATTGCGATTATAACCCTGTCGCATTTTTTGCAATAATAAAAACATCGCAATAATTTCTGAATTTACAGTATATGATTTCAACTGAGATGTATGTATGCATTTAAAAGGACGTTTGGTTTGTAACTTATCGTTGCTATGGCGCTTTATTCAGTTAATTTAGTCTAATGGTAACTGCATCAATCCACTGCCTTTTTAGGGGAACCACAATAAACCTTGGGCCCGACGTTCCTGATCCAGGACTGGTGGACGATGGTTCCCCGTGCTATACAAATACGAGAACAAAGTCCCAAGGCATCTGTATCAATAAGAAATGCGTAGACATTAGTACCATATTGATTCCGATCTGTCCAGTTGATGTAAATGGAACGATATGTTCTGGAAATGGGGTATATTTTTTCAACTTGAATGATAATATACATAACAACGCAAGAAACACATCATTATTTTGCAGACACAATTCTTTTTTTAATATGTCTTATGTTTAAAACTAGGAAACAAATTTAATAGCATATAGTCCAAGATAATGTCTTATAATAATTAAAACAAACATACATTTTCTATTCTGCACTATATTGTGAATGTCAAAAAATATATAAAATTGGTAAAATATAAAGCAAATCAATGTAACCAGATTAACATCTCACATACATACACGATGTTACTCATTTCTGGACAAGCCTTCATCATGTATACGCTTGAATCCGAAAAGAATAAGATAACAAATACAATGAATGTTGATAAACATAAAAACCAGAAGGGCATGAACTGCGATAGCGTAGCCAAAATTAACTAAGGCAAGGTTTGTTGTATTGATTTGCAAAAGCTAATTTATCATTTTAAGGTAGGGTCTTATGGTCAATTTTTCAGCGATACCGAGCCAGAAGTAGAAACGAAAATGAATGCCCAAAAGATAGTAATGCACACTTTATGTTTCATAACCTTTATCATGTGCGCTCTATGTATAGTAAGTAAAGTATGGGACAAAAACAACCTATTTACATGTTTAATTTTAATCATGTCAGTGCTGAAGCACTTTATCTGCATCGTTATTTCATTGAAATTCCATAATGCTGGAAACCATAATTCAAATCGACATATTACAAAATTACCCTTGGAGACTAACAGAAAAAATGTAAAGCAATCAAGCAATGAAGGAAGTCTAACCACAATGAATATTTGGAATAGTGGTTCGCATGGCATTCAACAGTTCATTATATCAGTTTTTTTCTAATAAAAAACAAAACAGGCGGAAGTTACCAAAAAGGAAAAAACAAAATCATTAGTCGAAGAGCAACCCACAAAACCATGGAAAAAAAAAACTAAAACGAACAAATGATAGACACCAATCTACAAAACACAACATACAAAACTTAAGACAGAGCAACACGAACGCCACCAAAAACCTTAGGTGCCGAAGAAGCGTATACAGATCTCGATATATATGTTTATTGGGCTCAATGTTCTTCTATCATCGTATATTAGTCCACTGCATATAAATCTAAAATAAATGGAAATACTTTCGTTTCAAGATATGCAACAATCTAGATAAATGTTGGTGTAAGCATGGTTATACCAGTAGCGATTGTTCTGTAAAGATCTTAACTCCAGGAAGAGTCCCTGAAAAGAGTAAGTATTAATTTATTTAAAATCATGGGATTCAATTAAATTCAAAATCAAATAATTTGTATTACAGCACTATTTGTCTTTCAAATCGACTATAAAGACATTGCATGTGTTTATGTTTTAGGTCTCACTGTTACACATATTGTACTGATATCAGGTGGGAGCGGGATTTTCGTACTTGGTCTGACGGCTGGCATTATAGTTATAATCTGCCACAAGAAAAAAATTAAAGGTAAGTAAAATCAGTCTGGTGTCATTCCTAATCTTGTTTTTTTTTATTCTTTAAAGCATTTTAAAGTTATTTACATAAATATAAATTATTATTGATAAATGAACAGGTTAATATAATCTTGACATTTTAGTGCAGGAAGGTCACTTTTGGAGTCATGATGATGTCATAAATATAGTCTTTTGTCAAAATATGTAGGATCAATAGCTACACCAAAAATGATATTTTAAACTCATTTACATCTGTGTAGATAAACTCATCATAGATGCCAGGATTAAATTTTGTATTTACGGCAGACGCGCGTTTCGTCTACAAAAGTCTCATCAGTAACGCTCGAATCGAAAAAAGTTAAAAAGGCCAAATAAAGTACGAAGTTGAAGAGCATTGAGGACCAAAATTCCTAAAGGTTTTGCCAAATACAGCTAAGGTAATCTATTCCTGAGATAGAAAAGCCTTAGTATTGTTTTGTAAACAGTTAATTAATATATATGATCGTATCAATGATAATTCATGTCAGCACAGAAGTGCTGACTACTGGGCTGGTGATACCCTCGGTGAATTAAAACTCCACCAGAATACACCTTGTAGCAACATTTATTTTTGGGTAAAGCTGTTGCTAATATCGGGATAACAATGACACGATATCAAAATGAGACTTTTTGGCAGTTTTTGCTATTTTGTGCTAAATGTTAGAATTTTGCAGCCCTAGACCTAAAACCATTTATACCGACGGGCAACAGACTAATGTCTTATGAACATCTGCAAGATGTTGTTTGGTAGGTGTATAATACTTTTTGATTTTCGAATATAAGGGCCAAAATAGTTGCCTTATAATACCTTGTTCTTTTAAATGGAGAACGTATGAATGAATAGATATACACAAACGAGATAGTATGTAAGGTCTAAACCGTCAAGAAAATTATCGAAAGAAATCATTAAAGGCTACAAAAAATCTAACACCTATGCCAAATTCTAATAAGACAAAAACACAATGACCTCCTTCCGATATTTCTTGATATGTACACATGTTGCTGGTTGATTAGTTTTGTGAGTACCATATCTCTCTTTGGAATACTAGCGGCAAAGGCACATTTAAACATAAAAATAAAAATCAGCCCTGACAAAGCACTCCATTCAAAAACATTTCTTTTTAAGATATGACGAGTACGAATAGAAATACATAGTTTGATTAGAGCTGGAGCATATAATAAACAAAATAAGTAAGTTAGGCTTCGTATTGGTCATCTGTACCATGAATTCTATATATTTTTACATATCTTTTTTGATATGTGTATCTGCTTTTGAAGAAAAAAATACAAACTAACCAGTAAAATTATTAATTGAGAATTCTTACAAGTCAAGATACTTTTAAAACAATATATGTTTAAGGAGAAAAGGGGAAGCATAAAGATAAAGATGAAAAGAAGAAGCATAAAGATAAAGATGAAAAGAAGAAGCATAAAGATAAAGAAGAAAAGACAAAAACTGCATGGGGAGAACCAAATGGAGACATTAAAAGAAAGAAACTTGTTGCTTTTCAACAGACCAAAATTAGGCCCATGCCTCCTTCTTCTCATCGTCTTTAAAACTTTGTTTTGCAGGGATGGCACAATATGAATAAAGAATTTTTTAAAAAAACATATTACGCAGCCTTTAAGTCACACAGAAATATATTAATAATTCAAAAGATTTAACTTGTAATCAAATTGAACTAAATAAAATATTTTATGGTTGATGGCTAACATTCCACGTGTCCCTTATCAGGTGACGATGACTTACCTATTGATATTTTTTCTTCTTTGTGGGATATGCCCTTACTCGTTGACACACTTATTCCCACTTCTTCCTTCTAAATTTTGTATAGATTTCGATTACTGACACATCTTTTGCCGTATATATAAACCTGATATAGAGATAGTCTTTATTTGTTTACTGCTTTTTTTCGATGACAGTGAAAAGAAATGACGAGAATTAATCATTCCGTATGAAAACTGTGTAAAACTATGTTAAGATAACATTCTTGATTACATAAAGATATTATTTTTTGTTTCTTAACATTGCATAATTCCTTCTGGTTTTTTCCTAGGCTTTGCATTAAATATTTTTGTCTAGCAGCCTCTTAATTTGTCAATATGAAAAATATTCAATTTCAAAAATACCTCTTTTTTTTTATTTTTAAAATGCAGGTAACTAAAAAAACACACGGGTTCACCTTTTTTTTCGAGAATTTTGATGCGTTATCCATTATCATTTAAAAATAATTCGATTTTGGAAATATTTTCTTTTTATAATTTCAGGAATAAACATCCATAAAGGCTATATACTCTAAAACTACTACCAAAATCTATTAAAGAGCTGATTCTATTTAAAATTGAAATGCACGTTGAAGTTAAGATCTACACCAACGCTGACTATTTTCGATTGCAGCGACCCAGTAATAGTTCCATTACAAACCACCAGGAATAAAATCGTAATAAGAGTATACATAAACAATCAAATAACTATCAAACATAAATATAAAAAGTAAAATAACAAAAATACCGAACTCCCATTTTGCAAAATCAAAAGCTCAAACACATCAAACGAATGGAAAACAACTGTCATATTCCTGACTTTGTACAGACATTTTTTTGTGTAGAAGGGAGGCGATGGAAACCAAAGGGACATTCAAACTCATAAGTAAAAAATAAACTGACAACGCCATGGTTAAAAAAAGAAAAAAAAGACCAACAGACAAACAACAGTACACAAAACACAACATAGAAAACTAAAGACTGAGCAACACGAACCCCACCAAAAACTGGGGGTGTCTCAGGTGCTTCGGAGGGGTAGGCAGATCCTGCTCCACATGTGGCACCCGTCGTATTGTTCATGTTAATACAAACCCGGTAATAACTCTAATTCGGTAGGTCATATTCAAGGAAAAGGGGACGGGACAAGTAGTTACGACAATTCGAACATATCCGCTGTCATCTGTGAAACGGGTATTCCATAAAAGTCAACCAACGCGTGATGGCGTCCATAAAATTTACGAAGGAATGGTTTCAACTTCACCACTTGAAACTCTTGGTTTTATAGCTTCCTTGTGAGCAACAACCCTATATCAAGAAAATCATGATAGGAAATACAAGCACTGGTGGATTAAACCTGGTTTTATAGCTAGCTAAACCTCTCACTTTTATGACAGTCGTATAAAATTCCATCATATTGACAGCAATGTGTGAGCAAAACAAACAGACATAATAGATAAAAATGTCAAAGTTGGGGTACAACAGTCAACATTGTGTTATAATCTTAATTACTATAAAAACAAATAACTATTTCAACAAAGAAAAACAAAATGACATATAGACACTCAAAAGACAAAGTACATAGGCAAAAATGAAAGACAAAAATACAACAATTACTTTAGCACAATAACACAATGGCGGGATGTATAAATACCGAGCCACGCCCAGCGTATATTACCAGAAATGGACCAAAAAGAACAGGTTAAAAATATACAAAGACAAATTAAAAGAACACTATAACACGTAATTAAGATGATAAACAACGTCAGTACATAGAATCTACACTTCAAGACCATCATGTATTATTTGTGAGGTTGATATGGAATATTAATCAACAAGGTCTTGGAATCTTCCGATGAACTTTTTTAGAAAAAGGACGAGACGTTTTTTTGACATAACCCTGGTTCATCAATTTTCTGCTCAGACACTGGTGACGTTTAATAAAATCTGAGTAGCAGCTGCACGCTCTTGAATATCGAATGAGTTGAGGAAATGTATATCGGATATGCATGTGAAGTTACTATATTGCTGCTAAAATTTAAACTACACTTTTAAAACGCAAACCAAAATCAATACAGATTTATGTTAAAATGAAAAACTAATAAAGTAGGAGGAAAAAATTAACAACAGTTATTGTTGTAACAGTCATAAAAAATCGTCTTTCTTTTTATATACAAATTTCATAGTAAAACGTATTTTCACTGAATCATGTAGTTATCTTTCTTTGTATATATTTCTAAATATGAAAAATAAAAAAATGTAAGATAAGAATATATATGGGGTTACGAAACATATTATCAAATGTTATTATAATATTGGTCGCCGCCGATAAGCATTTATCCAGAAAGGCACTTCATATATTAATAAATTTGATATCTGTAATCATTCGAAAGACAAAGGTTTCCTATATACGCAAGCCTATATAGCCTTTGGCCAGATTTTACACAACTTTTAGAAATTCAAAATCAATTGTGTCTTCCAATTGTTTTGATTGGCGCTGGCCACAGCCAAGTCGTTTGTAGACAGAACGCGCTTCTCTTATAAGAAATTTTAATGCAATTTCTTTGGTCAGTTTTACAACAACTATGTCCATGCCACTGTTTTTTCCTTTAGGATATTACCAGCTCAGTAGTCATCCCTCTGTTGTTAGATATCATCTATGCGGTAATTTTATATAATCATTTTCATAAAATGTTAAAATCATTCGAAATATTCTGGTGTTTTACCCACAGGCAAAGATAGCCAAAGACTCTTCAACTTCGTATTTGATATGGTTTTCAAACCAGTTTTGTTTCAAGCACCACTGATGATTCTTATGTAGACGAAATATTCGTCATGCAAACTAAATCATAAGCCTGGTATCTTTGGTCAGTTTTTACAACTGTATCGATGCAACTGCTAGTGAACGTTTCATCTCCGCATACGTAGGTATAACAATCCGAGTCTTTCTGGACTGACATGAAATATCGTTGATGTGGTAATGTTTTGTAAATTTAGTGTTCGCTAAACATTTAAAACACTTTAAGTTTTTCTACCCACATCCATAGTGATAGTTTAATCAAGATGTGGCACAATCTTTCGGAATTTAGTTCTAAATGCTTTTCAAACTCTTGCCACCATTTTCTAACGAAAATATATGTACCAAGTCAGGAATATGACAATTGTTTTCCCCAGTAGTTCCGTTGGCTGATATAGTCATATAGAAGAGCATTTGGTTTTGTCAGGTTTTATGGACTTCCCCCTCTTTGAAATCTATCCTGGAGTTCGTTAGTTTTGTTAAAAGATTTGTTCGTAAGAGTTAAAGCGTGCCTGGTTTTATGAATTCTTAAGCATAGTGTCTTTGATGTGTTTGAGCTTTTAATTTTGCCATTTGATAAGGGACTTTCCGTTTTGAAAAATCTGATAATATGATAACTATCTTCAACTTCTGATAAAAGAAATGAAAAGACAACTGGAAAAAATCAAAATCAACATTTTTGCAACATCCCATTGTAAAGAAGTTATTGTGGCGTCATAATCTGAACCTTCATGTTATTGGTTTTTTTGTTTTGTTTGGAATTCGTATTATTTTTGCTTTCGACAACATTGACAACACGCATGGTTCATTTTGTGAATATGTGTTTTACAAATATGTATCTTTATAAAAATGGTTGCGGGGTTAAGGGGTTTTAGCCATGCTTTCCAAAGAGACAAACCGCTTTAAAGCACAAAAAATGTGTTGAACCATCAAAGACTGTCTACAGGGAATAGTTGACAGAAAAACAATTAAAATATTTTGTTAATTCAAATTTGCATGATGCCTTCTATAATGTCGACGAGATGTGAACGTGGTTGTGGCTTCAAGACTTATACATTTTTTATTATTCAAACAAAAAATTCTCTGAAACAGTTATTAAGATGCTTGATTTCTTGATTTTTCAACAAACAATCGTCATTACCGTTTGAACAAACTATTCTTCTCGTCTTCCCGACTTGTTCCTTTTTTCATATGAGACTGACTTCACACAGTAGCTTCTTAGGAAGAATGAAAAGTAGCTAGCATTATCCTTAAACTTCAAGTTCCGCTATATAGATGATATCCTCTCCCTTCATAATTCAAAGTTTGGGGATATGTTGAACGCATCTATCCCATCGAACTTGAAATAAAGGATACAACAGATACAGTTAAGTCTTCCTCATATATTGACTTACATCTAGAATTTGACAATGAGGGTAGGTTAAGAACAAAACTTTACAACAATAAAAACGATTTCAGCTTCCAAATAGTGAACTTTACATTTCTATGTAGCAACATTCCAGCAGCGCCTGCATATGGAGTATATATCTCCCAGTTAATACGATATTCAAGAGCTTGCATTTCCTTTCATGATTTCCCTGGTATAGGATTGCTGCCTACAACGAAACTATTAAACCAAAAGTTCCAAGGGGTGAAGTTGAAATTCTCCCTTTGAAAATTTTACGGACGCGCGCCATCACGAGTTGGTTATTCGTTATGGAATATTTGTTTCATAGATGACGACGGATATGTTCCAATTGTCGTTATCACAAACACATCCCCTTTTTCCTCGAATGTAACCAACCGAATTAGACTTATCACCAGATTTGTACTTTCATAAGCAACACGACGGGTGCCACATATGGAGCAGGATCTGCTTGCCTTTCTAGAGCACCTAAGATCACCTACGGTTTTTGTAGGGGTTCGTATTGCTTAATCTTTAGTTTTCTATGATGTTTTTTCTATACATAGACTGTCATACAAATAAGAGGTTTAGCTAGCTATAAAACAAGGTTCAATCCACCATTTCTACATAGGAAAATGCCTGTACCAAGTCAGGAATATGACAGTTGTTATCCATTCGTTTGATGTGTTTGTTTTTTTGATTTTGCCATTTGATTGGGGACTTTCCTTTTTGAATTTTCCTCGGAGTTCAGTATTTTTGTGATT